TTCCGGCAGAAAAGAAGAACAGGGGCAGCACCAAGCGGGCCAAGCGCCCTGCGCCTGCTGGCACCTCCCAGAAAGGGGAGAGCTCCCAGCAGGAGCAGCCCAGCAGCAGCGCCCCAGCCAAGAAAAGGAAGCTGCCGCCATGCAAAGAAAGAAGAGAAAGACAAGGCCGCAAACACCTGGGCCAAGTGAAGCTGTGTGGGGCCAGCACAGGAGCCAGCGGCAGCGGGCAAGCGGGCACTCCCAGCGAGCTGCGCGTGCACTTACGCGAATCCATCCGGGCCGTGCACCCGCTGGGGCAGAGGGTGACTGCGGTGGGGCCGGTGCGCCAGCCACCCTCTGTGCAGCCCCAGCCTACAGCTGGCACTGGCCCCGCCACCCCCCGGCCCCAAGCTGGCGGCACAGACTGGGCGGCACTGGCACCCCCAGGCGGCACGGCACGAGAGGATGGCACCGCCAAGAAGACAGCGCCGAGCTGCCCGCGCCCGTCCTTGCGGAGGAGTTCACCACCGCTGAGGGACCCACTGTCACAGCGGCACAAACCGCAGCCTCGGCTGCAGCGCCCCGTGCAATTTGTGCCCTGCGCGGGGCCCCGGCTGCGTGGCGGTGTGGCACCCACAGCACTGGAGGAGTCGTTGCCCATCACAGCCGAGCAGCGGCCCGAGCGGGAGCACTTGAAGAAGCTGGCCCAGGAGGAGCGGCAGCAGGCGGCCCAGCAGATGAGGATCGGCCCCGTGCAGTTCCTGGTGCAGCGGGAGATAGACATGGCCATAGCCAACCGGTACGGCTACCCGTAACCCTGCGCTCCTCGCTGGCCCCGCAGCACCAGGCGGCAGCCGCAGCGTTCCAGGGGCACCACCAGCGGCCCCATCCCTCCCCTCCTGAACCCAGCCGTCCTCCACAGTCAGCAGTGCAGTGGGATGGGACATTGTCTGGGCGCTCAGCTGTGGTGGGATGGGAATTCTGTCGTTTCTGTTTCTCGTTGTATTCTCAGATAGGTTATTAAAAGCTCTGTGTTTGTGTTTTGCTACG